CCTGGTGACTGGATGGCTTTAAACTTCTCTCTTTCATTTGATTACGTAATGTTTGGCACTATCCTAACACCACCCCTTTGATATAGTGTAACTTTGCTTGTCTCTTGTTTCTATGATTTCAAATCTTCAATTACTCCCATTATTAATATTAGAACAAGACATATATGCGAACGATATTGTTTTCAATCAGTTCAGCAAACGTAGTAATGAGCATCTTCCTTGATGGTTCGGAAAGGGTCAAATAAAATCTATAGGAAGTTCTATTTTGACTCATTTGATTGATGATTTTCCCCACTGAATTACTATTACCAACTGAGTATATCACAGAATGGAGTTTCAGATAATTTTCACTTGTCCTTCGGGAAACCACAGTTGGAGGTGTTCAGTAACACGCTGGCTAAACTGTCTACCTGCACGGTTAACATAATTTCCAATACACGAGCAACTGAAACTGATAACTACACACACAGATGTGGCAAAACTGTCTGGCTTATCGTTCGTTAGAGTCCCAATAATTCTCCGACTAGTGAACGGCAAACATTGGTTTCCAGCGAAAATGTTCTCCGTATACTTCTGAAACGTCCCTGGGACAAAATTTCGCAGTAGCACTAAGTAGTACAAGAAAAGACCTAAATGATGAAATAAAACAGATAGAAGAAGAGGCGTTGGTATCAAATAACTATCCTATAAACTTCATTAGGAAAATCCGAAAAGGTCAAAAGCATAATATACGAAATAATGGGGAAACTAATAATGATAACATAAACAAAAGAGAGAATATAAAGCATCTATATCAGTTTTACCATATAAGGAGGGCAGGGGACATCTGAGACCCTACGTAGGATTCTTAATAAAGCACGAATTAGGGTGGCATTCAAACCTACAAACTCATTCAGGTAGGACAAGCTCTGTAGGCTAAAAGACCCGGTGAAACCAATTAAACAAAATAATATAATTTACAAAATACCTTGCAATGACTGTGATTCAGGTCAACTACATAGGTCAAACTACTAGGTCGGGGGTAGTCAGATTGTCGGAACATAAGAATTTAGCTAAGGTAAGAATGGTTGACCCCACCGGCGAAGATAAGTAATTTAGAAGACAGCTCAGCACTACCATGCATTAACACACGACCACACAATGGGGTGGTTGGAGAGAATTACAATCCTAAGAAGTAATGTAGGTAGGTGGAGAGAGAGAGAGGTTGATTACTGAATCATTGTTCATCGAATCTACATCGAACAAGTGCAATAAGAATGACTCATCACTCATACCGGAAATATGGAAGATATTATTACCACCAGTCAAATCAGAAGAGGATAATAAATAATCTTAAAATCCTATTCCAATTCACCTACATGATAACATTCTAACAAGTTACTTGTTATGACTATAAAAGCAATCATCTTATTTCCTATATGATTGTAATTGATCAATAACACTCATATAACTATTTCTGAATGTACATTATCCTATATTGATTTTTATTCCAATATCTAGTCAATTTCACATATGTATATAAATGAAGGAATAAAGTTATGTGAGTATTGCCTTGATATGGTGACAGTCAGAAGAGTTTAAGCTAAAGTTACTTGATTTATTCGTAACATAACACTGAAGAAACAAAGTTTTTACCAAGATATCATTTGCTCTTTAGCACTTTTGTATAGGTAAGTATTTGCTAACAGAATTATCAATGTTGTTATTTGTTTTCAGGTTACAATTGTGATGGTTCACTTGATTTGAGAGCTTTGATGAAGTGTAATTCAAGAATTTTCGTGTTAACGGTAGAATCTTTGTGATATTATAAAATTCTTTATCAAAATAAATATTTCTTAAAAGTTGTAACGGTATTCTTGCACGACTACTTTTTTTCGCTTGTCGAAGGAATAGTGTTGTAGCCATTTTTGGAATTTGTAATGACTAACTTCGAAAGAATGATAATTTGCGCAGTAGAAGACTACTAGGATAATTATGTTAAATAGGGTATACCTATAATACGTTATTTTCGATGTACGTATTCGTCCTACATTTGTTATTATGTATATGCAGTGATCGCATAAGAAACATACTTACTTTACTTTACTTCGGCTACGGGAGGATGAGCTGGCTTCATGAACATCTCGAATCATCGCTGCCCAGGCGCGGCGATCTGATGCAAGGTTTTGCGTCGTTTGTAAGAGAGTTCATGAAGTTTCATGGGAATTTGGTACGAGTGATGTCCCCAGAGTCGCTCGGCCTTTTTTTTAAGAGTGCGGCTCTAGCCTTTACACAATCAAGTGTGACCTACAAGGCAGTAGGAGTGGAGTAGGGACTCCACTATCCATTGGCAGCCGGTGACCGGAGTTCGGTTCATACGCCTTTTTGAATGGGGCCAGACATCCAACAAGCCCTTTGTCCATACGTCTGCCGGTGAGCTCCAGTGAGCTTCATACGCCAGTCGTTGGAGGTTTGGAATCAGGGTTTAGCCATCTCCCCTAGACTGTCATCCAATGGACAGTCAACCCGGTGAAGAGCGCCGGGCATCCGCTCAATGTATATTTTTCTGGTAGCCCTGATGAAAGAGAATCTTTTACGCAGTCGGATTTAGCAAAACTTAACTTTTGCACGCACATAAGGAGGGAGTAATGACGGTCTACGACTTTGACTGTGCTTTATAAAAGGGTATCTGTATTTTGTTATTACAATACAAACGGATGTTTGACGCTATTTTCTTCTTAACATTAATGCTTACTTATACTAAGCGCAATCGGATAAAATGTAACTGATATGTTGCACGCACCTAATGACTAATAACGGCTTACGACTTCGACAGCATTTTACAAGAGGATTACTACATCACCTGGAAATCTGCTTAAAACTAATGCATTTTCGACAGGATAAATAAAAATTATACACTAAGTCAATATGAATGTATGTATTTAAAATAAATTGAAAATAAGTATAAAAAATCTGGTACAGTACAAAAATAGTTTAAGTAAAAAAAAATAATAAAGGTCATTAATTATCTGCAGCACATGCTTCTGGAACTGGCTCCAGTGTTTTCATGTAAACATCTATGTTGTATTTCCACGACCACCTTCGGCTGTATTGTAGTATATCTAATGGTATATGCATGTAAACTACATGAATTGATCTTACCCCCATTGAACAATCCCATAGAGTAGGCATACAGGATATGCGAACAAGGAAGTTGGTAATCATGGAAATGGTGACACGAGCACACTCCATTGGAAATGTCAACTAGGTAGAAGGATACTCCATCGTAGCAATCAATGAGGTGACTGCTTACTACAACGTGATGAATACGTTCAACCCTTTGATAATTGTTTGAGACTATTTTCCCAGCATAAGGCGTTAATTTGTCCAAGTGCATTTGAATTAACTGTGGAACCTACAAATGGTGTAATAATGAAGTGTTACTTACATCATAATGACAGAATCTCTGTAATGTTAACAGAGTGTCATACTGTCGTCGGCGCCAATAGTTTGTTGCCTTGTTATAAACTTTCCACAAGGTTCGCACTAGTGGATAATTTCGCCGAAAATGCAACTTTAAGTGCTTATGAGCACTCTCAACCCTGTTGTTCGTTCCGTTACCCAATGTCATAAGTTTCCTCCTGAAGCATCGAGCCCACATTTTCCTGTTATGCATCCAGTGTCTATTTAAATATTGGTATGCTTGAGGAAATTTATCACGAATGTATGTATAATAATAGTCAAATCTTCAGAATTAATAAATTTGCTAATCAGACGTAACTTACCTTTCTCTGAAACGCGTTGAAAGCATTCTTTGTAGTGCGAACCGTACGTCAACATTCCAAAACTACAAAGTAATCATGAATTATAGTCACATACCTTTCGACTAAACGCTCGCAGCACATGAAATGAACAAAGAACTATCCTGCAGTGTGGAAACACTTTTTGCACCGAAGATACATCCGCCTGACAATTATCCATGACTAAGGTCTTCATTGCATCCGTACATCCCATTATGTCTTTAAACATTTGCAGGACAAACGTGACATCTACCATTGTCTCCCTGTTACAAAAGGCAAACATAACACAAACACCCTTTCCACATCCATCTGTGGCGACTAGCTGAAAAAGACTGAAACTTCAGACATTACACTAGTATCCGTAACTTACCCAAGCTTATTCGTTTTGTATGTAGAATCAGTGCAAATTACTTCTGGAAAACTCTGAAAAAACTTAATTTGTTGCTGCAGGCTGAAACATATAACATCAATCTGTCCATTTGAACTCATCGTACGAACTTGTCCTCTTGATGATAACACCTGCAGAACATCATCCATACTTTTCATATCTAGAATGACGTTAACCAATTATTTCGTAATCCGTATACCTCCAAACACTTCTTCTCTCAATTTTACAACATCTTTTCGCGTTAGATACTTTCCAAATTTCACAAGAACTGCATACCTCAGGTCATCAGTTGACATCATATTTTTAACCATACAATGTACTTCAGTCTTCTCCTCCTCCGTTAAGCAACGTCTGCAGCTATCCATAAATTCTTTTGTACATGGATGATTATGTACACCCTCCATATCCCCTACTTCCAGGTATCTATTAACTGGATTAACACAGAAACTCGACGTACAACCCATACACTTAAAACTTATAAAACACAGACTAAAAACTCAGATATACACTTACGGTTATCCACGCCTAACTCCTTCGGACCGACTTCGCCGTATTTGACCGAAGGTACACACATAACTAACACGTTTGTACCGAAGAATACGATTGATGGCATCTATACAACTGCTTCTCACATAATGAGTATTTGCAAGCTTATTAAACTCTTTAAAGGCAGCATCAAATGCTACCCACGTTTTAAAATGTTTATATTTCATTATGCGGTTAAATACATGCACCTTGTTCGTCAGTCATTCGTAAAAAAACACCACTTTCACACCTTTTTCAGCAGTTAACAATACTTACGTATTGCCGCCACGCATATGCCAAATTGAGATCACCAATCACTACACGCAGAAGTGACCTTGAAGTGCTCAGCCTCTCCATATAAGGTCGTGTGTGCCTTTATCCATTGCCTCTGAATAAGTCGGAGATGAAGGCAAGTTGTGGGGATTTTACTTGTTTACTTCTAGGTATTTGTTCGAGAGTGTAAAACCGATAAAGTTTTACTGACATGGGACAATGTAAGTACTTATTATTTCCTTGAATTACAGCTTTTAGATCCCGAATGATGCTGTCATTTTGGATGTAAAGAAACGGATATATGAAGAGAGTAATGTGTTTACACTTGTCTAGCACTCTTTTTTCAGAAAGAAAACCAAAGGTAGTCAGTCAGAGCATTCGTCTTGAGCCACGTAAGTTGATATATATATATATATATATATAAATACATGTTTAGTTCTTATAAGAACTTCCTTGTTAAAGAAGCCTTTTATGAACAGCCTTATTTTGTTTTCTGTTTTTTCGAAGAAAGCTGTATGACTGCAAACATACGACCAAGCCTCTGTGGTCTCAATGTTTTTTCTCTTCAACTGGCATGTGTCTAGCTGTGAAAGGAACAGGCTAATTCTTGTGCATCACTTAGAAGCTTTTCCTCCTCGTGTAAACTTTTAAATCCATTTGAATTTAACAAAGTAGTGACATGATGAGTTACTTAATGACCACCAGTGGGCAGTTCTCATTCTTTGGATTTAGTGTAAAGACCTTGCAGGATAGTATGAAATGCAATCTATTTTAACCTTTGCCCTAATGTTTTTTTATGCAATGAGTTCCAGCTATTGCCTGTTTGTCGTTAACCTGCACTACGATCCTGTACAGGATTCCGGTGTCATTTATGAATGATCTCTAGGGTGATCATTCCTAGAGGGAATAAAAATTTAGGAAGCTGATACCTAGGTCTCCGTTCTTAGTCTAATACCCTATTATTTGGTCACTTTTTACGATAAACCTGAGGAAGATGTTTAGCTTTGAAAGATAAGGGTAACAAATATTTTACTTAATTGGAGCAAACCTCATGAACTTAACTTTAGTATATGATCTGAAAGATGACACTGTCGATCCTCTAAAACCGAGTTATTTTTCAGAGGAAATGGTGTGCAAATGATAACTGAGAATTACATAAAGTATAACATAAAAGCCAAACAACAGATGACGGATTAAATTATCTGTACCCTGATGGCTTTTATTAAATAAGCTTTCCCTGACACAAACCGAGTCTTGGGCTGTTAACTGGTTGCATTCCTGTTTCTCTAATAGAATGCAGAATATTGTATTTAAACACAATTCCTCTTCTGCCTTTCTGCTTACTGAAGTCTGTGTCCTTCAGGGTACTGTTCTGTTTTTCCTCTTACATGACTTGTTCCTATTGGAAGAAATCAATTTCGTTGGATACACTGATGGTCTGACTGTTTTGATAGTTACATCTCAATTTAGCTGTCCCAAACTGAATAGATTTTCGTCGGACATCAGCTAATGGTTCATGCTGAAAGGTCTTACATTAAATCCCTCTAAATGTCAGTTAACTTCACCTTTAAGCATAAATGTGATCTACATGAACTCATCCTTTCACAAGATGCTTGTCTCACAAAGGTCACTGAAATAGAAACTAAATAAAGCACAGGATACCTTGGAATAATTCTATCCCGTGACTTTTCTCTGCTGTCTCATATCATGTTGGTTTATAAGAAAATGTTTCGTGTAACTATCTACATTAAGAAATTAAGAAAATCGGGTATCATTCAACCCCTACTCCTACAATTTGTTAACTCTTGTGTCTTACCCATTGTTCTTTATGGCTCCCCCACCCCGTATTCTTTCCTGGGTTACTTAAAAAGGACTATGTCATATTGCGCAAGGTATTGAGGGTTGTCAGTAGTAGGGTAGGCAAGTGGTGTGTCACTTAGTCACCTCGTTACTGTTGTAGTCGACAGACATCTGAACTAATACGAGAAGTAGTCTAAATCTATATTGTCTACTCACAACTCTCCCTGCCCTGATTCTCATCAAGTTAGACAAGATGTCATTATAAAAGGGGCATATGCTCGTACAACAAAGTACGAAAACCCAACGATACTCTGCTTGGACCGCGTTCTATGTGATAGACATAGTGTTAAAAGTGTAATTAGCAAAGTAATTGGCTTTTTAGTCTTCTATTTATAACTTATGGTGTGACACTGTTTTAATTATCTTATAATTTTTAACTACTGACAGTATTATCATCATTCCACACGTTTTGTACATGTCTGACTTAATTGTCACTGCTAATACCAAAAAGGCTGCTATTATAAATTTTGTTTTTGCTTTTGTCGAGTAAACTGGATGCAATGCTCTACCAGATACTGAGAATTCCAAGCTGTATTATGAGTACTGTTTCAGAGTAAAGCAAATTTTTTTTCTTGAGTGAAACTTGTTAATAGATAATATTTTCAGAAGTCGAATATAGTGTGTGAGTCCATTCAATCCACTTTTCGTTCTCTTCTTCTTCTTCTACTAAGTTGGCAACAAGTACAGCTTGAAAAACGAATATAAAAATGCTTAAAAACAATCGCCTTCTGTGTTTTAAGTTTTTGAAAATGAGCATTAGCTAATAACTAACTACTATCTGGGCTAACTTAACGTAAAATTGTTTGATAATAATAATAATGTACAATAGTTCAAGTTGTGACAAATCACAAAAAGGTCTTTGTACTGAAACTACAGGTGATGCAAATGTTTTGAAGAGAAGACTACTGATTAATTTCTAATTGACTAGAATTTATATACTGATTTGGAAAGTTTTCTAGTATCAAGTATTATCAGAACTCAAGAAATAATGCTTATGCATGAATCAATTTCTAATTCAGTAAACCTTTCATCTGGCGTCGTTGGTTCATCCGTAGGATGCTTGCCAACCATACACATGGTCCGAGGTTCGCTCCTCGGTTGACACACTTTTAAACCCTGTAAAATGTAAGATGCTGCTACAGGACTGGACTACGTCAACTCCTAGCTTAGTGATAGGGAGTGAAGTGATAGAACATGTTGACCACTTCACCTATTTGGGAAGTTGTATCAGCACCAATGGATTGATTGGTGACGAAATCTCAGCACGGATCCAAAAAACTCGAACTGCTTTCGCTTATTTGTGCCATCTCTGGCGTAGGCGTGACATCCGGCTATCAACCAAGGGACGTGTGTACTGCTCAGCAGTTCGCTCCGTCCTTCTCTATGGCTGGCTCTGAAACATGGCCAATACGAGTTGAAGACATGAAAAGGTTGACTGTTTTTGATCATAGATGTCTACGATCTCTTTCCCACGTTAGGTGGTATAATAAGGTAAGTAATGTTGACGTTAGGCGTAGAGTGTTGGGCAAAGAGGGAAAATCAATCGAAGAGGCTATGAAGTTACATAGATTGAGATGGTTAGGTCACGTGCTGCGCATGCCTAACCATCGCCTCCCCCGACGGGCATTACTAGCTGATATAGGTGCAGATTGGAAAAGAGTAAGCGGTGGCCAAACAAAAACATGGCATCAATCCATGAAATCCTTGACAGTTAAACTGAGTCATGTAGGGAGGGAGATGCAGACTTCCGGGTTGGAGCCCTCGGGACTCTAAGAATCGATGGCTGGAGACAATAGGTGACATGGCTCAAAATCGTTGTCAATGGCTTACGCAGATGTATTCAGTCTCTGTAATCTTTCATATTCCTTTCTACCATTACTCATTCATTCTGTTTCACTCTTATACTTGTCAAAACTCTATTGATTCTCTTCACTCATTTTCTTGTCTACGTTTGTGTGCTATTTGGAAGGTGGCAACTGGAACTGCTGCACTTCGGTGCCAAGTTCTATGTTGAATCCAGACAGACAGAGAAACCTCGCTAGGTTAGTGGTGAGGCCGGTACAGAGGAAAGGTAGGGCGAAAGGCTAGAAAACCCATCCCGTAAAAATAAAAACAACCCACTACTACTGGAACTTCACAACTCCAGCTGAAAGCCGCCCTACATTCCACTCGAAATGTAAAAGCGACGAAAAAAAACCTTTCATCAGCCATATGGATAGTGTTCTTACAAGTTCATATTTGTAGAGATTCATCACCAAGCATGTTTAAGTAGGAGTGTTTCTTTTTTTTAATTCACTTATATGTCTAACCATGAAGATAAATTTATAATAGTGAGGCGGCTAGTTGGCTTTGACGATAGATGGTTTTGCATTCTTTCTCCGGAGTTAGGTGATATAACATGGTCATTAATATTAAGGTAAAGAAGAAAAGTTGATTGATAGGGTTGTGAGGTTGCATCAATCGAGATGGCTAGGACACCTCTTTGAGCAGTGTTAGCCGACATCAGATTGAGTTGGAAAATATTGAGAGGGGTGGTTAAACCTGATATGCAAACAGATAAACAATGCATTGTCCTTTATTAGTGACATGGATACCGATGTCCCCAGTCTGGGAACTAACCAATAAGAACTAGCATATGTAAGTGATGGATGTGTGTCCAGTCTGGAAATAAACCAGTCAGAATTGGCTTCCGTAAAATAATGCCCACTGTTTTATTGATTATGACTACAGACTAATTGATATATCCATGGTGATATTTTGAATCATATAACATTATTATGTAAACAATAGGTGTATTGTCTGGTTGTTGTTTTCTGATCTTGGCTAGCTTGGTTTTGAGGACTCTTCGTCTTTGTTCTTTGTGTTTTCTACTTGACAATGTAATTGCGGTGATCAGTGTTGACAGGTGTTCCTGGTTAAGGGTTTTCTCTAGTTTTTCTTTTTGGACATTTATTATTTGTTGATATTTGTTGATCCGATAATGTGCGTCTGTAATCATTAATTTGACCATTCGTCTTCCACATTGTTCGGCCAATTTCCATCCCATTGGGCAGTTGTTGACTGGTGGTTTGTATCCGACACTGGTCGGTAGGATTTGATGACGAAGGCACTTATAGAGAAAAATTAATTGTTCTCTTGTGGATCCTTGCCTTTTGGCGAAGTCTTCCCACTTTCGAACAGAGAGAAGCGTGTTCCGCTCGTAAGATTTAGATATGATGGAGAAGATTTGTAGCTCAGGTGGATGATTTTGATTTCAAATTGAAGTATGCGCTGAAGATGTCACCTAGTAGGGTGATGAAAGCTTCGTAAATTAACTATCCAGCTAGCTCAGAGAACACAACCACATCAAAATATTACGTAAAGTATACTTTGCAGCTCACGTCATTATGTCTTCTTTCATAAGTAGTGCGGGTTGGGGAAACAGGTAGCTATCGTATACTGTTGTTGATGTAGTCAAGCGGTGTTTGTGATTAACGCGTCTAATTCCAGCATCCGTGTTTCTATCCTACTATTCTATTTCACTCTCAGTATTATTGCTCAATCAGGTTGCTTGTTCTTAATGAAACCAAGATCTGTCATCAATCCGTAAAGTCTGAGTTGGTTTGAGTCATGTGAAGGGATGTAGGCTGACTGTTGGGCTCTTTGGGATACTATAAGAACCACTGACTCGAGAGACTATTGGTGGATATGACTTGAAATTGTTCTGAGTAGCATAGATGCATTCATTCTATTAACCTCCATATTCACTAAATTCTCATTATTCTTCGTGTACTATCTCTTTTTACAGTACGTCGCCATTTATTATTATGGTTTCGTTTCATTCCTCTTGCTTTTTCCTTCCTGGAAGCTTTGTGAAATGTGACGACTTAAACTGCTGCACTATTTTCACAAAGCTCTACATTGGATATTTTGTCTCTTCTCAGTTACGTAACGTGGTATAATTTACGGCAGATAATTGTCAGTTTTATACGGAACAATTATTTCCGTTGATTAGGTCAATCACTGAATAAATCTTAGCAAGGATATAGAAGGCTCGTCTGGCATTTGCCTACCAAATTACACCATCTCTGGTGTAGACATTATATCTGGCCGGCTGTCGACCAAAGGACGTATGTACTGCTCAGCGGTTCACTTTGTCTTCCTTCATGGCTATGAGGAAGATATGGCAATTACAAGTGAAAGACATGAAAAGGCTGGCTAGCTAGCTGTCTTTCATCATAGGTGTCTGCCTTCTATCTCCTGTATGTGTTAGGTGGTGGTATAATAGGGTCAGCAATATTGAGGTGAAGCATCGGTGAACCATCACCTCCCTCCACAACAGGCAATGTTAGGCGTTGACATAGGATGGGTCAGGTTGGAAAAGAGTTAGCTAGTGATGGTCAAACCAAAACATGGCCTCTTCAGTCAATGAAATCCACAACAGTTATTTTAAGACAGCCAACCAGTCACGTAGGGAGTTGTGGACTTTCTGACTGGCTAGTTGGTGTCCTCGGGATGGGTGAAAACCAGTGACAGTGGCTGAAGACAACTTGTGAAATGGTTGGCTCAAAGTGATCGTTCTAAGTGGCTAGAGCAGATGCATTCACTCTTTGTGACCTGGCATATCCAATAAAACTATATTATTCTTACATATTACTATTCTTTTTGCCTCACACTTTATTATTATTATTATCTCACTCTCCTTTGAATCTCTCTTTACTCTCTTCTCTTGGTTTATGTGCTACAAGGAGGGAGAGTGGCAACTGGAACTGCTGTATATCTGTGGAAAGTTCTACGCTGAAACCAGTCAGTCAGTTAGCAAATTTAAACAATCATGTTTCCATTTTTTGTTTGATGCCCTCTTACTCCTATCGATTTTTTTGTTTTTGTTTTTAGGAGGGAAATCAATCAATGATAATAAGCGGCTATGCGATTTAACCAATACAGATACATCAGAATGCTTAAATTTATATGTAAAAGATTTAGGCCCACAAATTGGCTGGCGTACTGTCTTCTTATTTGAATATGCAGGTCCATTGGTTATTTATACAATTATTTGGTGCCTACGACAACCGTTTTTCAAAAATGCTCTCTTGCCTCCAATATCATCGGATGCATATTTACGTAAAGTTGCTTTAGCCTGTTGGTGTCTGCATTATACGAAACGTTTATTGGAGACTGTGTTCATCCATCGATTTTCTCATGCTACAATGGCATTACATAAACTGTTTCTCAATTGTGCATATTATTGGGGATTTGGTTTATTTGTTGGATATTTTACAAATCATCATTTATATACACCACCTAGTAAGTTTTTTTGGGGATTTTTTAAAAATTTATTTGTAAATATATATATATTTTAAACGATTGACTAGGAATATTCTTTTCGATATTGTACTCTTTATCAGGTTCTACATTTAGCGAATTATGGTGATTTGACAATATTAAAGTCTTAGAAAGGTACCTACCTATTGGAAGGGAAGGCAGTCTGACTACTTTGTCAAGCTACCAAAGAAGGGTGATCGAGTTAGGCTTCTGTGTTAGAACTGACTAGCGTGGAATATAATGCTCTTGTCCACCCATGCCAAGTGAAATACTAAGTCGTATCATCCTGGAAAGAATAAAAGATGCACTGGATTACAGAACTCCCCCACCCCCCAGCCACACCGGAACAAGCTGGATTCAGGAATGGCAAATCATATGCTGGTCAAATTGCAACTCTACGCATCGTCGTTATCACAGAACAAAGCATAGAATGTTAGTCAAACCTCTACTTCAACAAATTCATCGACTTCGAAAAGATCTTGGACAGATAGTGTTGACCGAGACGTCATTTGGAAACTACTTCAACACTACGGCGTGCAGTGCCCCAGTCTTTATCAACCTGTTCCGTGTTATTTATCATTTCTGGTCAGCCATCTGATCTTCATTACGGGAGGTGAAAGGGACAGCTGTTGTTGATCGAAGTCTTCAGCAATGTGTTGGATGATGTGTTTCTGTTGACGTGACGTGCATATATATATATATATATATATATATATATACAACATGAATGCTTCACAGTGATGCACGGAGTCCCTCAATATCGTACAAAGGGACTTCAGATACGCCATCTGTACATAGCTGAAACATTAGCTATTCTAGATCTGAAACTGCTGCTACTGCTGGATTCAACATAGAACTTGGCACCGAAGTGCAGCAGTTCCAGTTGCCACGTTCCAAATAGCACACAAACGTAGACAAGAAAATGAGTGAAGAGAATCAATAGAGTTTTGACAAGTATAAGAGTGAAACAGAATGAGTAATGGTAGAAAGGAATATGAAAGATTACAGAGAGAGACTGAATACATCTGCGTAAGCCATTGACAACGATTTTGAGCCATGTCACCTATTGTCTCCAGCCTTTATTGATTCTTAGAGTCCCGAGAGTGGGCCCCAACCCGGAAGTCTGCATCTCCCTCCCTACCTGACTCAGTTTAACTGTCAAGGATTTCATGGATTGATGAGGCCATGTTTTTGTTTGGCCACCACTTACTCTTTTCCAACCTGCACCTGTATTAGCCAGTAATGCCCGTCGGGGTGGGGGAGACGATGGTTAGGCATGCGCAGCACGTGACCTAGCCATCTCAATCTATGTAACTTTATAGCCTCTTCGATTGATTTTCCCTCTTTGCCCAACACTCTACGCCTAACGTCAACATTACTTACCTTATTATACCACCTAACGTGGGAAAGAGATCGTAGACATCTATGATCAAAAACAGTCAACCTTTTCATGTCTTCAACTCGTATTGGCCATGTTTCAGAGCCAGCCATAGAGAAGGACGGAGCGAACTGCTGAGCAGTACACACGTCCCTTGGTTGACAGCCGGATGTCACGCCTACGCCAGAGATGGTGTAAGTTAGCGAAAGCAGCTCGAGTTTTTTGGATCCGTGCTGAGATTTCGTCACCAATCAATCCGTTGGTGCTGATACAACTTCCCAAATAGGTGAAGTGGTCAACATGTTCTATCACTTCACTCCCTATCACTAAGCTAGGAGTTGACGTAGTCCAGTCCTGTAGCAGCATCTTACATTTCATAGGGGCGAATCGCATGCCAAACATACGAAGATTGCTGCTCAAGGTGTTCAGAAGACTCTGCTGGATTTTGTCAGCGTCCTCCCCTAACAGGACTATGTCGTCTGCGTATTCTAAGTCTATAAGACTATTCCCTGGTAACAAGTCGATTCCTAAGTCGTTAAGTTCAGTTAAGGATACTTCCATTAACATATCTATGATGAAGTTAAACAGAAAAGGGGAAAGTGGACATCCTTGACGGACACCACTGGTTGTTATCAATTCAGATGACAATTCCCCATAAGCCCTTAAACGGCTACGTGAGTTTGAGTAGAGTGCCTTGATTAGTGCAAAGTAATTTCTTGGCACTCCCTTCATAGTCAAACATTGCCATAGAACCTCTCGATCCACGGAGTCGAAGGCCGCCTTCAAGTCAAGAAATATGGCAATTGTTGGACGCCTAAAAGTGTGTCTATGTTCTAGGATCTGTCGGAGAGTGAAGATATGATCTGTGCACCCTCTACCTGGCCTAAAGCCCTCTTGATTTTACCTTGTTTGTTCCTCCCGAGTTCGGCTTAGTCTGTTCATGATTACTGAGCCTAGGATTTTAGAGATTATGTTCGTTAGGCTGATTCCTCTATGATTATCACATGAGGACTTGTCTCCCTTCTTGAATACTGGTATAATAAGTGACTTACCCCAGTCTGATGGAACCGTCTCTGATTCCCAGACGTTACCTAGTACCTTAGTTAAACTATATACTAGTATGTCACCCCCATATTTAAACACCCCCGGAATAATTCCGTCGGGTCCTGCCGCTTTGCCTCGTTTCAAATTACAGATAGCTTTCGTGACCTCACTTACAGACTGCGGGCCAGTGTCTATGTCCCATTCGGGTGTGTGCTGGATGGCGGGGGGCTCAGTGTGGCTGTAGGCAAGTTAAACTGTTCCTCGAAGTGTTCTTTCCAGCGTTCGAGGCGTCTATCCTGAGAGCTAATTAAGGAGCTATTTTTCTCACAAATAGTCTCACTTATGATTTGCCTTCTCCCACCCGTTTCCCTGATGAGTCTAAAGAGTTGCCTAGTGTTGCCTATGGCCGATGCTTTTTCCATCTCTTTCGCCTTTGTCAACCACCACTGTTCACGGTCCTTGCGGAGACTTTTCGTAAGTTTCCTTTTGTGCAGCTTTCGCTCCTCATTGAATTCGGAGCTCGCCGGAATAAGTCTTCTAGCATCTATCAGTTCGGATGAGGCAGTCGAAATCCAAAGGTTTTTACTCACCTTTGGATTTACCTTATTCACAGCTTTTACAGCTGTATCTATGGCTGACTGAATACTCTTCCAGGCTTCTTCAGGGTGAGCGCAGCTAACTAACTCAGATATGTGTTTAGCTAGTTCTTCCTCAAATAGGGACTTAGTTTTCTGATCGAGCTGGGGACGTGATGGGTTTACCGCTAGCTGTTTCCTACGTCCGTTCAGTCGTAAGCACACACGAGCGCGGACCAGTGCGTGATCGGTATCTACACACGTGTTCCAGAAGGAGCGACAATCCCTACCACCCAATCCCCTACCTTCAGATCTGAAACTGGATCTCTGCGCTCAAAAGCAATACATGCATTCTCTCGCCCTACCATGGTCAGAGTAAAGTTATTACTACAATTTTAGCTTCTTTCTTTTATTATGTAAGTTCACTATTATTATTATTATCATTATCATTATTATTCCCATCATCCACATTTTATTACCACTCTATTACTGTTTATCAATAACATTGTTTTTTCATACAGATTTTATGTAAAAACACTATAGCCTTTCCACTAGTTCCTGTCCGTTCTACACGAGCTTATTGATTAGTCATTATCTCAAACTTATTACGTCATGCCAACTTCTGCCTCTTTTCTAACTTACAAATTAGTCATCCCTTCTAGGTTACACCTTACATTATTTAATACAATTTTTCGACGACAAAGTTTACCAGTATCTGATTGGTCTAAAGTATTCTTTGTTTAATATAATTACGATTGTACAGCTCATGAAAATGAATAGTCGAAAAGGGAAAATTTTCTTCGCTGTTTGTGCCTTTTTCTTATGACCCAATATGGGAATATTTCGTTCATATATACAACAGTTTTACGATCCTGTCCTTTATCGCTTCAAATATATCTGATTGAACTTCAACTGTAATTTATATTTGCACATCTCTCTGTTGTTTTTTTTTCTTTCAGCTTTCGGTCATACTCAAATAGTAATCGGTTTCTTGTTGTTTGCCGTAAGTCATATCTTTGTCACTATTTACAGTTTGTGTTTTTAGACTTTAGAAACAACCCTTTTTTTCTTTTTTTGATTCCTTGCCTTTCAATATGTGAACATAAAACTTCAAGATTTTTTGAAGTCTCAGTTACGGTAGAGAGTTGCTAGTTTCACGCCCGATCTTACTCTTTCTGACGGCTTACCACCACCATCATCTAAGGAGATCGTCAGGCAGGGGTTAGCTAAGTTAGGAGGGTGGTAAGGTTTTGAAACTACATCGAGTAGTCACAGATGGTTAGGGCATGTGTTGTGTTGATCAAACCAAAACCTCGCATCAGTCTATAAATACTTTGATGGTTGATTTGAGCCGGCCACGTAGGGAGCTGTAGACTGTCTGTTTGGGTTCCTCAGGGTTCTAAAAACCATTGAGACCGGAGAGTATTGATGATGTGTCGCTCAGCGTCGTTCCCAATGGCGTAGATGCTGTATTTAAGCAGGGTTAGTGGTTGGCTTCTGACTCGACTAACTGACACTATTGTTTGGTTACAGGATTTCATCATCAGCTAACATCGGTTAGAAAACCAGTGGAAAACCTAGGTGTACTAGACAGCTGTTTCATCCTGGCTTCGGACTCTTCAGCAGTACGCACCCTCTGGGTTCGAACCCAGGACCTTCTGGTTACACGGTGAGTGATCTCGTAGACCACTAGGCCACTGGATCCGGCTCCAGTGGCCAGCCCATGAATTCCAACTTCTGCCATTCCACGACGTGGGTTCGAACTGATAAAGGGTGCCAAACTAGGACAAAACAGGTGTCTAGTACTCCCAAGCTTTCCAATGGCTCTCTAACCGATGTCAGCTCATGATGAAATCCTGTAATCGAGCAATCAAATCCCTACAAACCAATACTTGAGTGACACTATTGTTATTAGACGCTTAAATTCGTGTAAGACGTTGGCTACAGTCATCTTGTCGGAGACTAAACGTCCTTTTTCATTCACAACTCTCTCTTTGTATCTCTCGAGGTAAAACTAGAAGCAATTTCATTAGAATTTATGCTCTTACGGTTAAATATAAAATTCAACCATACCTCATTTAGAATGGATATTGTGTGATGGGACGAATATCAGAAAAGAACCAATAAACTCACTATTGCTCCCGTCGGTTCCGAGTGATCATAGGGTTTCAGCAGCACACCTCTATTTCCCTCTGCTCTCTGCAGTCTTTTCAACCTGACTCCATAATCGCCCACGAGTTTAATTTCCCCGTCATGCAATCCCCTTCATGTTACTGTCGAAACCAATTGCAACACGTCGTTTCCTATCTGAGTCCCACTTAACGGCTTGCACTATGGTGCACTTTGTCACTCAGCTGTCTCCTCAAAGTATGTATCCATCCACCTCTTTTTCCTTTGGCATTTCTGTCGATCAGTTCGTCGCTAGAATCCCTTGTTGCTAATCCTTCCTGACCGGCCATCTGATCTTCAGTACTAAGGAAAGTGGGGTGGGTGGGTTGGTTAGTTGTTGATAAAAGCCTGAAATTTCCTGTTGGAACTGTTTCCCGTGATTCACGCGCCTAATTTTTTGAATCACCTACAAGAACTGATTTGACAGTAGTGGTGAAAATCCGAATCTTGTTCCTTATGGTGTCTGCAGCAGAATATCCACACTGATTTCAAATTTATGAAGGTCTTACTTTGCTTTTTTTTCCATTCCTGCTCTCTAATATCCTCATTCGTGCCATTTGTAGTTGAAATGATGCCTGCCTAAACAGGTGAAAAAATAGATACCTCCTTAAAATTCCTCCCTTTTGATAGTGGCAGATACTTTTTGTTGGTGGTGGTCAGTAGGTGGTTATCTTCATCACCGCTTTCTTCTTGATGTCCACCTCAAGTCCTGTGTTTGTCGCCTGTCTCTTCTACCAAACATGTTGGTTTTCGTCTGTAGATATTCAAGTTTGTGTGAGTTCAGATCTTCCTGTGTCTTCCTGTTCCTCTCAGGCTGTTGCTTCATCCAGTCCACCACAGTCACGGATATCATCGGTGGTGATATTAGTAGGCAGAGCCTTGTCCTACTCCTTTCTTCACTTCAAAAGTTTCTCAGGGCTTTCCGTTGTGAATCACTTGTCCACTCATTTTGTTGTTGTTTTTGTTTCTCCTTTTGCGTCCAGAGTGGAACATAGAGCTTCAAAGTTTTTACAGGGTGGGGGGGGTTGTTGACCTTACACCCAACCTCTCTTCTTCACCAGGCTTATTGACTTACTTACTACCAGCGAAGTGTGAGGAATAATGAGAGTGTCTTGGCCGAGAGTCGAACCTCGGACCACTTGTGTGATTGACGAGCCTTCTACCGTTGCACCACCGACGCACCAACTGTCCTTTATACATTATTATTTTAATTATTATTATTATTATTATTACTAATTATTACTACTCACATAAACATTTTTATATTAACACACTTCAGATTTTGGAGTTATTTATTTTAGTTTTATTTGTACAATGGGACAGAATTGTTGCAGTATATGTGAATGCTGAAAATTTCATTCTGCATAAAACGATTATTATTATTATTAGTATATTGATAAAGAACTCTGCATTCTTTAGTAAAATCGGAATAATTCTGCAGAAGAAACTGTGTCTTACACACAGTAAAACGTTCAGAAAAGTTTTGTTTTGATTTTCTAAACACACTAGGATTATGATATTAGATGGTTGGTGGCGATCGGACACAGGAAGCCCAGCCTTGAACCTAGGTTTCGTGCTAGTTGGGATTCAACAGTCAGCAAGATGTATCTGTAACAGCCTTGAAGGAACTCATATCCCACCCCTCTGAGATTCGAACTCGCGTCACATAGTGCTGATTGTAGTCAGAGACGTTACCACTGAGCCAGCTGTTCGGGCTCGCGATTGACCTCCTGTAGGACTGTAGTGGGTATTTTGACTTGACACTAGTAACTGGTGTCATGTGTCTAGTCCTCTCTTTAGTGCAGACTGAATTCTATCAGTCTCTGACTGCAGGTGGCATTGGGTGACGCGGGTTCGAATCACAGAAGGGACATGAGTTCCTTCAAGGCTGTTGCAGATACGCCTTGCTGACTGGTGTGTGCTAGTCAACTGGCAGGAAACCTAGGTGCTAGGCTGGGCTTCCTGTGTCCGATTGCCTCCAAATATCTAATATCATCAAATCAATGTGTGCACCGTGATGGCGAGCTACCTAGTGACATGGTGGCCACATTGCAAACCTAACTGACTGATAGAATTCAGTTTGCACCAAAAAGAGGACTAGACACATCACAGGAGTCACTAGTGTCAAATCAAAAACACTGGGATTATTTTAAATAATTTCATGAAGGTTTTTATGAATGTCTATCCGTCTTTTATTTTTATTATTATTATTATTTATTAGATTGGTGAATGGGGGAATTTCTGTTGTCATTTAACCTTGAAACGACTTCGACCAGCTGGTTCAACTGTTAGAAAAATACCCTATCCAATGCCAGGTTGGTTTTTCACGCGTATGTTCAACTTAGTGGCATGTCCTAACTACACCTATGAAATCCTGTCATGGATTGGTTTTACAATAATGACACAAACTCTACCGGGTAAGTTTTTTTATTATTACATGTATATGTATATATTATGGTTCCCTTGGGGTTTCGAGTGGTACCTAGGCCTTCAGCAGCAGCACATCTCCACTTTGTTCTATTTCCTGCTGGCCTCTTTAGCTCCGCCCACGATTGACCGTAGTCTTACATCTCTTCCTCTCACGATCCCCTCCATGTCACCATCGTATGATCCGCTGGTCGTGTCCCATTCGAGTTCCACTCGACAGCGATGACCTGGCTCGAGATATCACTCGGCGATCTCCTCCTCGTGTGTCCATTCCGCCCATCTCCAATTTCTTCGGCATATTTCTTAAGCGAAAGGTCCTTGCTTAGTTTATTCCCAGCGAGAGTTTAATTGTTGCTATTTGATCTTCAATATTGGAGCCAGCGAAGTGGGCAGCTGTTAATAAAAGTCTGCAGTACTAGTAACCCGTTGGAAATGCTTTTCGTGACGCGGTCATCAAGTTTCTGACCCGATATAGAAGAAGTGGCTGACTGACTGACTTCAGATTAGTGTTAAAAATCCGTATTTTGTTCTTTATGCTAACTGAGTGTAGAAGATTTCCCACATGCAGTGTAGCAACATGTGAAGTGCTTCAGTCTTCTGTTCAAAGTTTTCTATGTTGAAACTCAGTCAGTCTGTCAGGGATTCCCACTATCCCCCTTTCTATTCAATTTCATCATAGATGTACTAATGAAATTAACCCTAACTGACTTCAGCGACTCAGGGATTGACTTGTTGCCATCAGAGAATAATCTCGTCGACTTAGAATATCCAGATGATATAGTCCTGCTTTTAGGTGAAGACCCTGACAGAATGCAGAGTCTTTTGAACACCTTCAGCAGCAATCTTCGTATGTTTGGCATGCGATTCGCTCCCGCCAAATGCAAGATGATGTTACAGGATTGGACTACACCGACTCCTAGATTAGAAATAGGAAGTGAAGTGTAGAGCACGTTAGGAAATTGCATCATCCAGCGCCAGCCAGCTGGTTGATCGCTGACGAAATCTCAGCAGGGATACAGAAAGCTCGTTTGGCATTTACTGTCCGTTTACGCCTTCTCTAGCGTGGACGTGATATCCGACTGGCTGTAGACCAAAGGACATGTCTGCTGCTCAGTAGTCCACTCCGTCCTCCTTTATGGCTGTTAGACCTGGCCATTGATAGTGGAGGATATGAAAAGACTAGCTGTTTTTAATCATAGGTACCTGCATTCTATCTCCCATGTCACATGGCGGTATAATAGGGTGAGCAATACTGAGGTTAGGCGTCGAGTGCTAGACAAGGAGGGGAAATCAATCGACGAGGCTGTGAAGCTGCATCAACTGAGATGGTTAGGATATGTGTTACGTATGCATGCCTAGCCATCCATCGCCTTCCTCTATGAACAATGTTAGCTGTTATAGGGTCAGCTTTTGGTGGTCAGACCAAAACGTGGCTTCATCAACCAATGAAATCCACAACAGTTAGTGTGGGTCAGCCAACCACGTAGGAAGGTGTAGACGGTAAAATCCAATGGCTGGAGACAATCGGTGATGTGGCTCGAAATCGTTCTCAATGGCTGGCTGGCGCAGATGTATCCACTCCTTGCGACTTATCATACCCAATGAAACTATATTGTTCTTCAATATTACCATTCTTTGTGCCTTATATCATCTCTGTTTACTGTCTCTATTTTGCATTTCTTTTTACTTTCTTCTCTTGCTTTGTGTGCTACATGGAGGGGAGTGTGGCCACTCGAACTGCTGCACATCGGTGCAAAGTTCTATGTGTTGAAACCAGTCAGTCAGTCTGTCTGTCTGTGCATTATTTCACTTTTTTTTTATAATACTTTTATTCCTTGTCACATTATCACTTTCATTTCCCTCTTGTTTTCACTTTTCAGCGCTTATATTCACAATCGCTGGCTTTAGTCCAATGAGTGTTTGGGCTATTGGGAAATTGAAGGCGTATCGACGTGAATTTCCTGATTTCCCTAAAAATCGTAAAGCTCTTATCCCATTCCTTCTTTAGGATTATCATCTTTTTCTTTCTTTTTTTTTTATAAAAAAAAACACAATCACAGTGGGGTGTCTGTGCGCTCTCAATCACCCTATTCATTATTATTTTTATTATTATTATTAATATAGTAGCATACACTTACACTTGTCATTGTGGTATTATATACATACAATGTGTAAAGGTTAAATTTGCCTCTTTATATATGTATGTGTTAGCTTACCATTCCACATTTTCACACCGGTTCGCTTCACATAATGTGTCTGTCTTTTTATGAATACATGGCTTATCCTTGTATGTGTTGTTTTGTTCCTTCTTATTTTATTGAACACGAGGAGGAGGAGGAGGAGCGATGGGGGTGGGTGGGCAGAAGAATATGAGTATCAAAGGATAGGTAGTTAGGTAGTGATTTCTTAAATTAGACATTCGAGACTTTCAAGCGTTGGTTTTTTGCAGGGATTTGATTGATCGGTTACAGGATTTCATCATGATGAGCTGATATCCATCCCTTCAAGAATCACAGGAAAACCTGAGAGTATTGGAAAGCTGTTTCGTCCTCCATTTTTGGGACTCTTCATCAGTATGCAGTCTTTCCCAGGTTTCGAACTCAGCACCTTCCGGGTTACAAGGCGAGGTCGTTGACGATTAAACCATTGGCACCTGACTCAATGACTAACCCATGTGAATTGTAACTTTTACCGGTTCACGATGTAGCGCGCAACGACTAGCCAATATTATCCGTGGCGAGTAATTGTCCTCACAATCGATCTGTTGTACCTCATTGGTCACAACTTACTTCTCACTAGAACTCAGGTAACTAACTACCTACTTGAATAGGGAAGCCAGTCGCTAGTGAGTATCAGATTGATATCCAACTGTTGGTTTTTTGTTTTAGGGATTTCATTGGTTACAGGATTTCATCTCGTTGACTTAGAATATGCAGACGATATAGTCCTTCTAGGCGAGGACGCTGACAAAATGCAGAGTCTTCTGAACATCTTGAGCAGCAATCTTCGTATGTTTGGCATGCGATTCGCTCCCGCCAAATGCAAGATGATGTTACAGGATTGGACTACACCGACTCCTAGATTAGAAATAGGAAGTGAAGTGGTAGAGTACGTTGACCGTTTCTCTTATTTGGGAAGTATCATCAGCCCCAACGGGTTGATCTCTGACGAAATCTCAGTACGAATACAGAGGGCTAGTTTACGCCGTCTCTGGCGTAGACGCGATATCCGACTATCGACCAAAGGGCGGGTGTACTGCTCAACAGTCCGCTCCGTCCTCCTTTATGGCTGTGAGACCTGGCCATTGAGAGCAGACGACATGAAAAGATTAGCTGTCTTCGATCATAGGTGTCTGCGTTCTATCTCCCGTGTGAAGTGGTATAATAAGGTGAGCAATATCGAGGTTAGGCGTCGAGTGCTAGGTAAGGCGGGAAAATCAGTCAACGAGACTGTGAAATTACATCGACTGAGATGGTTAGGACATGTGTTACGTATGCCTAGTCATCGCCTTCCTCGACTGACGGGCAATGTTAGCTGATATAGGGTCAGGCTGGAAAAGAGCTAGCGGCGGTCAAACGAAAACACGGCACTAGTCAATGAAATCTACAACAGTTAGTCTAGGCCACGTAGGAAGGTGTAGACTTCCTGGTTGGTTGGGGTCCTCGGGACGGTAAAAACCAATGATTGGAAACAATTGGTGACATGGCTCAAGGTGATCGTTCTCAATGGCTGGTGCAGATGCATCCACTCCTTGTGACTTATGATTTCCAATGAAACTGTTTTGTTCTTCGTTATTACTATTCCTTTGTCTCACACCTCTGTTTACTGTCTGTATTATGCATTTCTTCTCTTGCTTTGTGTGCTGAGTGAAATGTTGTGACTTGAACTGTCGCACATTTGTGCAAAGTTCTATGTCGAAAACAGACAGACAGACAGGATTTCATCGTAAGCTGACATCGGTTAGATAAGCACTGGAAAACCAGTCAGGGGGTACAACTGAACAGCTTTTTCGTCCTAGTATGTGTCTCTCTAGCCGATGTCAGCTCATAATGAAATCCTGTAACCAATCAATCAAATCCCTGCAAACCAACATATTAATATCGATTTGTTAAGTAAGATCAATGGAATTACAGTTCAAGAAAGATGCATAAATCATAATAAGCATAAAAATGTAATAGCAAATAGAATGTCAGATAATTAAGAGGGGGGGGGGGGAATTTATGCAATAAATTAGGGATAGTTAAAACCTTGATGACCAAGGAAAGCGTCTGAACCAGCTTCTTTTCGATGCATACATAAGTTAAGCTTCCCTTGAAATATAAACGCACTCTGATAGTGTTTCTTCCACACAGCAAGAGTAATTAATTCTGTCTGATGACTGTCTTAACAAAGAGCTCGATATTATGAAACACTTACTAGGTGAAAATGATTATCCAGAGGAATTCATCGATAAGAATATGAATCTAAGGCTAAGGCAAGCCAAAGTAACAACTGACAATTCCGCAAATGGCCTTATTTTTACAACTTCAACTGTTGGGGTGATAATGTGGTGAGAGCTGTCTGCTAGCCAGAATTGTAGACAGCAATTTACGTCCCGAATCAGGGTCATGAAAAAAAACAATAACAAGGCTTAACCTTGAGGAACTCATCAAACAATCACAGCAGACTTAACGTGTGCAAATACGATTCGCAGATATATGGCTTAACTTTCTAAGAAACAACCACAAGCAGTACAGAATAACCTTGAGCAAGAAAACAACCAATCAGAAGACGTTGCTTCCCTGCTAACAATAATGCTAATAGAGTAATGTACATAAAAATCTATAAATATTTGTTGTCTCGCCGTTGTTTTCTGTCGTTACACTATCACATTATAGTTTTCAAAGCCAAATTAAAAGATTCTTCTGTCTCTGTAACACTGACTGGTTGTATGTATATAACTGAAATAAATAATAAAGAATGTACATACAATGTGAGCATTTCTTCTTGAAGGTACACTGTATTCATATGTATAAATTGTAGATAATGACAACATTCGTTGAATTATTCAAATTTCTTCAGTAGTCTTCCTGTTAATGAGGAAAAATGAACAACATTTAAAATATTCAATTTTAACTGATGAAAACAAGTTTGGAAAAAAAATAAATCAAAATCTAGGTTAGATTTTCAAGTGTCAGTTTGGCGGAGATTTGGTTCGTTTCAGGTATGATCACAAATTGTTATGAGTTAGAGAAGTATTGGAAACCTCCAGAGATTACTGGACAGCTGTTTCATCCCTCAGTATGACACTGAACTCATTAATCCACCAGGGACTGAACTCATCACCTTCAGGTAACAAGACCGGGGGACGTTGACCATTCAGTCACTGGGACAGGTTACAATGGTCTGTGAATTCTAACTTCTATTAATTCTCGATTGTTTTCATCACCGACGCCAGTCAGTGTTATCGGTGAGTATGAGTCTTCACACCCGACTAGTGGCCAGAATGGTCAACAAGCTCACTTCATAACTTGAAGGTCATGGGTTCGATTGCCGCTGACTGGAGTTATGAGTGTCCTACACTGAGACAGAACAATTGTCCGGTATTTTTGATTGGATACTAGTCAGTAACTAGTGTAAGGTGTCTAGTCCAGTTTACTAGAGACAAATACAACGCTATCACAAAGTAATTACTTTACATTTAAAGGGAATTTATGTAGACATACAAATGGTGTTGTTATGGGTTCACCAGTTTCCCCCATAGTCGCTGATCTTTTCATGAATAGATTCTAAGATAACATCTTTTCAAGCATACGTTGATAATATTTAATTGGTGGATGGTGACTAGCAGTGGAATCCAGGATGCGCATTTCGTCCTATTTGAGACTCGTCAGCAGTGGATGTACCTGCATTTCTCAGTGAGTGATGATGTTCCCACCGAGGCTCGAACCCATTGCCCATAGTTTCCAACGCCAAAGCGTTATCCACTAGACCACTTGGGCCAACGAGAGCCATCTCTTGTGCAACGGGTCATATGCGCATTCCAAATGGTTTAGTGGATAACGCTTTGGCGTTGGAAACTATGGGCAATGGGTTCGAGCCTCGGTGGGAACATCATCACTCACTAAGAAATGCAGGTACATCCAGAGACGAGTCCCAAATAGGCCGAAACGCGCATCCTGGATTCCACTGCTAGTCACCATCCACCAATTAAATACTAATTAAATGCCCAGACATCGTCGAAGCATCTGCTCAAGGAGCCGACATGTCAACCTGAGACCGAGCACCTCGGTCCAATCAATCGACGGGAAAAATCTAAAATTCAATTAAATACGTTGATAATACTTTTGTAGTATTAAACTATATCTACACAGTTCATTCTTGCAGAAACTGAACAGTCTACCTCCCAGGATCCAGTATACTTCCGAAGCAGAATCCGACGTCAGTGAACTACCATTTCTAGACTGCCTAGTGAACAAGAGAACGTCTAAAATCATCAGAAGCCCTTCATATCAAGTGGAATCCAAATTGTCTGAATAGGAATGATGAACTAAAACAGAATTTGACCTGGTTACAACATACACAACCTGCCTCCCCGATGAAATGAAAAAATCAACGCGAATGTAATAAGCAATTTCATTATGTAAACACACGCTGCTTTTATAATTTTACACACTTATCAAATCCAACAATTTACACCTGGTTTTGTTATCTTTACCAATTGGCTAACTTGACAACGCAAAAACGACCCCATGCTGTTGTATATAAGCTGAGATTTTGTAAATTCTGGTTTAAAATTACTACTTTGATAGAGCTATTGGTAGCAGAATTAAATAGCGAGACGTCAGTAAAAACAACAACAATATCGTTTTGTTTTTCATTCATTGGGAAATACAAAATACCTTGATTACAATGTCTAGTCATATATTCAGTGCAGACTGAATTCTATCAGCCAAGTTTTCAGTGTGGCCACCATGCCAGTAGGTGGCTCGCTATCACGGTACATTGTGAATCGTTGGTATTAGATGGTTGAAGGCAGTCGGCAGGATAAAATTCAGTCTGCACCAAAGATAGGACTAGACACATTACACTAGTTATTGACTAGTGTTCAATCCAAAACAGTCCTACAGGAGGACAATCGCAAGCCTGAATAGCTGGCTCAGTGGTAACGTGTCTGACCACAGGCGGCACTGGGTGACGCGAGTTCGAATCTCAGAGGGGTGAAACGTGAGTCCCTTCAAGGCTGTTGCAGATACGCCTTCCTGACTGGTGAGTGCTACTCAACTAGCACGAAGCCTAGGTCCAAGGCTGGGCTTCCTGCTGGTTGCCTCCAACCATCTAATACCAACGATCGTCCAGTATTCCTTGGCAGCTTTCAATACTTATCTTACTGATATCAATTAGCGATCAAAGCTGAAACTGATTTAGATTAGTTAGCTAGAACTGACTTATCCAGCATTGGTTTATAAGCCATAGAATTGTCGTGTGAGGGTTGATGCTACCATCTAGTAGTTGCCCAGAATGAAGTAAATGGGGGTAAGATTCAAATACAGCATCCATTTTTACTGGAAGTCGATTGTTGATACATTAATCCCTTGAGTTCCCAGTAGAACACATGGCTTCAGCAATACACCTTGATTTCACCCTCTTCTCTGAAGTCTATTTTCTACCTGGCTTCATGAGTGTCCATGAGCTTTCATTTCCTCCTCCTCACATACTCTCCTCCATGTCACCCCCGGAAAATTCAAATCATCGCTTCTCATTCGGGGTCCATTTGACAGTCTACTATTCGGCGGTCTCCTCAGCACACTATCTCCAGCCCCTCTCCATCCTCCTCTACATATCTTTTGGGCAGTCGATTTTTGCTTAGTTCTTTGTCAGAGATCCTTATCCTTTCTGTATATATATCTGATCTGTAGTATTGAGCTGTTAATGAAATTTTGCAGTAGACTATTAGAAATGCTTCAGCAGACGCACTGGTCAAGTCTCTGAACTATTTAAAAGCACTAACTGACTTAGCATATTATTACCTGAGATCCGAATCTTGTTTCGTATGCTGAGCTAAGCAGATTACTAGACTGATTCCAGAGTAATGAAGGTCTGTCCTGTTTTTCCTATTGATTAATTAGTGTATTATTATTATTGTTTCCTTTAATTCCTAGAGGAACATAGGGCTTCAGCCGTGCGTCTCCATTGCGTTCGATTCTCTGCTAGAGTTTTCACCTGGCTCCAAGTCTGCCCACACGCTTTCATCTCCTCTTCACATTACTTCCTCAAAGTCACCCTTGCACTGACGACCAACTCGCCGCCTCCCATTCTCCCGAGTTCCGCTCGATCAATGGCTTGTCTAGTGATGTCACTCACTTGATGGCTTGTTTCCTCAGAGTATGGCCAGCCAATCCATCTCCATTTCTTCCTACCTATTTGTTTCACAATCGGTTCCTGCTGGGTTGGTTCGCTCATTGCCAGAGATCCCTCTCTGTTGCTGATCTTTTCTGACCGGCCATCTGATCTTGAGCAGTATTGAGCGAAGACAACTGGCTGTTGATGAAGGTCTGTAGTTTGTTTGAGATGCTCTTCATGACGCGCAGTGCAAGTCTCTGATCCGTATAGTGAGTAGCACTGACTTCACATTGGAGTTGAAATTCCGGATCTTATTTTTGATGCTGAGTGCTGTTGACCTCCACACAGACTTGAGAGTAGTGAAAGCTTGTCTTGCTTTTCCGATCCTTGCTTTGATATCCTCGTCAGTTCCGTCTGCCTGTATTTGAAACGATGCTTCCCAGGTCGGTACGTAGGCAAAGGAGGTTGTTTCTTTCAGGTTCCTCCCATTTATGTTGGCTGATTGTTGTCTGTTGTTGTTGCTGCTGTTGGTGTTGCCCAGGAATCTTCATCACCTCTGTTTTCTCTATGTTCACCTGAAGGCCTTCCTATCTTCTCTGGATGCTTCTTCTGCCAACTTGTTGGTTTTCGCTTGCATATCTTCCAGCTTGTGGGAAGTCAGACATAAATCATCGGCGAAGTCCAGATCCTCCAAGTTTTTTGTGTGAGTCCATTTTATGCCTGTTTCCTCGTTGCCCGGTCTACTGCAATCAGGAAAATCATTGGCGATAGTAGGCACATTGAAGTTACCACGCTGAAAATGTTGTCTAGTTAGGTAACGAAAGATTTTCAATTGAAATGTTCACCTCGGAGAACAGGAAATATCATCCACCTGAGCAACAATTGGTTTTCATCTTTTCAAAATGTCATTAAGTTTAAATACGACTTGTTTTTCTGAATTCGGAACAGACTTAGTGTATAAGAGCCAATGATACTGTCCAAGTAGTCCAAGTAGTTGGGGTGCAGGATTCGATTCACCCAGACAGATCCACTGGGTGAAATTCCAGTGAAATTGTATTCTGACTACTCATCGATGTAACTCATATGAAGGTTCAAATGCAAAACAAATCACAGTGAACAAGAAGCCTATTTTCATAAAGCTTGATTTCAAAGGGGATAATATCTCTGGAATAGTCACAAGAAGATTGGATACTTCGCTAACCAGAACTTATCCTTGGATCGGTTTATCGGAAAACATGCTCTTTGATGCAATCAATAGGTCAACAGATAACCTTCTCATGTTAGCACTAATTGTCTATTCACATTTACATGTATCTGAGGTACCAGGAAGAAGGACACAACTTTGATCCTGTGAATGTGTAACAAAAAGCCTACGTCTCAAGGGAATGAAGGGCATCAGTTGTGTGGTGAGAACTGTCTACTAGCCAAATTGGTAGACAGTAATTTACGTCAATATTTACGTTCCCAAGATTTGTCGTGAGAAAATGTGAACAAAGATTGACTTTGCGTAGGCGGATGCAGTTAACATATAGAGGATTTGACATTCAAGAAACAGTCACAAATAGATGGAAGATTAACTTTACGTGAGAAACAACCAATCGGAAGACTGTGTTTGTTTGCTTAAATATCCATAGTAATGTACATGAAAATATATAAATATGCGTTGATTTGCTTAATAAATGATCTGTTGCCTGATCCTTGCCTTCTGTTGTTACAGTTGTACCAGAGCTAGGCATCCCTTCGATAATCGTCCTAGGGTGGATAATCTGAAATCCTTTGAAACTATCAATCGAAAAAAAACCAGTTCAGTTCTCCTCAAGTCTGCCTAAGCAACTGTTATCAAATACCTAAAAACTGATTTATGTATTTAGAAAGAAGCAGTTATTAGTCTTTTCTTGCCCTGGAAACTAGATACCTTTATTCTCCTAGTTCATTTGATTATGTAATCTTCGTCTTTGGCCTCCTTCCTTTTCGCATATAATGAAATTTTACTATACTTTACTCTTTACTTTACTTAATTTCCAAGTTTCCTGTTTACTAACATCACGTCACATTTACCAGTACACTAAAATCGCTCTGTACATAAATTTAATTAATTTTTTTTATAATGTAGGCAATTGATAAGGATCTGACGAAATAAATGACGATACTGTCTTATTCTGCATAAAGCGCAGTTTTTGCCATATTCAAATTCATTACCTCATTGTCGATCTGACCTGTTACGGAGGAAAAAAGGATTTGGGACAATTTCCCGTTAATTTTGGGGGTAGCTTAATGAAAGAAGTTTGGAGAAATGAACTAAAATATTGACATTTCTCTTAAAGCCCTTCCTCCCACCAAATGCTTCAAATTTATCCCGGAATTTCACCTAAATGCTCCAAAATTGTTTATTTGAGGTGGAGTGGAGGTGGTAGGGGAAGTAGCATGCATATCACTGTACATATTCACACCATTTCAGGATTAATATTAAATTACAATCTCATATTTTCTTGGAAAAAACGTTTTATACATTGCAACCTACCTACCTACCTGGGAAGCCTCGTTTCAACTAGACGCGGATGGAACTGATGAGGATATCAAAGCGAGGATCGGAAAAGCAAGGCAAGCTTTCATTACTCTCAAGTCTGTGTGGAGATCAACACACTCAGCATGAAAAATAAGATGTGGATTTTCAACTCCAATGTGAAGTCAGTGATAGTCACTATATGGATCAGAGACTTGGTGCCGCGTCACGAAGGCCACTTCGAACAAACTACACACCTTCATCAACACCTGTCTTCGCTCAGTACTACTCAAGATCAGATGGCCTGCCAGAAGAGATCACCAACAGGGATCTCTGGGAGCGAACCAACCCAGCAGGAACCAATTGTGCAACAAATATGCAGTAAGAAATGGAGGTGGATTGGCCATACTCTGAGAAAACAAACCATCAAGTGAGTGACATCACACGCCAGGCCGTCACTCGAGTGGAACCCAAATAGGAAGCGTCGAGTTGGTCATCAGTGCAAGGGTGACATGGAGGAGGTCATGTCTAGAGCGGATGAAAGCAAGTGGTCAGACGTGGAGCCAGGTGATGAAAACGTTGGTAGAGAACCGAACACGGTGGAGACGTGCGGCTGAAGCCCTATGTTCCTCTGGGAATTAATGGAAACAATAATAATAATGACTGGTTAAACAAACAATTGGGCATCACTTCTGTCACAAGCTTTTGAGTAGAGCTCAAAAGTGAGTTGTTTCAGCTTATGAGTGTTAGACTGAAGCCTGTCCCTCAGTATTTATCATATTTAATCTTCTATTTTCCTTAAATAGTGATTTTATTCGTTGAGAATGATGCCTCCGTTGACAAATACACGTTCTCCAGTTAAAATGTCTACAAAAAATAAAGGGGCAAAACGTTTTACCAGACCAATAACAGAAAACAAAGAAGTTTGTATTCAACTTACAGACTCTTCTTCATTTGATGCAGCCTCTTCAGCTTCTTTTTGTGCTTGAACTTCTAAAGCAAGTTCATCAAGAACTGAATCTTCTATTTCTTCCATTATTGCATCTTTTATAATTCCGAGAGCTTCAGCAGCTAACTCTAATCTTGATATAGCTAATATAATATGACGTTGTAATATCCAAATTGCCACATCACTTCTTAACAAGGGCAACACTTCATTCAAACACTTTTGTTCATAGATTGACCGGGCTAATTCGCGGAATTCTGTATGACGTTCACATACAGCCTAAAGAGTTTTACAAAAAAAGAAAGTAAATGACAGTTACAGAGCTTATTATGTTTGTTGGCAGCTGGTACGAACAATCTTTGAAGTAATTTTCAAAAAACAACCGGTCAAATCTGTTACACTGATAGTTTTTACTCTTGATCTCATTTTCGATTCTTGTGACAACAATTGTTTAACTGGATGTAGGAAGCCGTATGCGACACAACAAATACTCGCCACGGATGATACTGTAACGACAGAAGACAAGGGCCAGGCAACAGATCGTTTATTTGAGAAAATCAACAGATATTTATTGATTTTTATGTACATTATTATTAGCGTTATTGTTAGCAGAGAAACAGCGTCTTCTGATTGGTTGTTTTCTCACTGGAAGTTATTCTGTCATCTAATTGTGGCCATTTCTTTGAAGGTCGGATCATGTATATCTACTAATCGTATCCGCCCACGCAAAGTCTGCTCTGATTGGTTGTTGAGTTAGTCTTAACAAAGACACTAGTAACTAGTGTCCAATGAAAATACCCACTACAGTCCTACAGGAGGTCAATCGTGAGCCGAAATACCTCAGTGGTAACGTCTCTGACTGCAGGCGGCACTGGATGACGTGGGTTTGAATCTCAGAGGGGTGGGATATGAGTTCCTTCAAGGTTGCAGATACGCCTTGCTGACTAGTGAGTGCCGACTAGCACGAAACCTAGGTCCAAGGCGGGGCTTCCTGCTGATTGCCTCCATCTATCTTATACACTGAGCTATTCATCCTCTTCCTTATTGAGTAGTGTTGATTGATATGACATTAAGTTCAAAAAAGACCTAAGCGTGGTTGTTGAAATCAAAACATGACATCAATTCATGAAGTCATTGACTGTTACGTTTAGCCAGCCACTTAAGAACATGTAAACTGCTTAACTACAGTTCTCTAAATGCTAAGAGAATCAAAGTTTGGAAACTGCCAGTGATTTAGCTCAAGTGCAATCTCAATCTCACAGATGCCTTCAGTACTTGTGATCCTTCAAATTCAGTAAATTCAGTAAGTTCTTCTTCCGATTTAGTTATTCTGAAACCTGACAAAGGATCTGCTATAGTTGTAATGGACAGAAGTGATTATAAAACAAAAATGTTATCCATCCTTAATGACAAAAGCAAATTCATAGCCGATGTTCCTTCTGATGATATCAGAAAATTGGAAAGAAAAGTAACTTCATGGGGCGGATGTTATCGACAAACAGGAGTTTAACTGATTGAAACCCATGGGATCTGACCTTCCAAACCTTTATGGACTGATTACCCAAGATTCATAAGGTTGATAATCCAATAAGTCCACTTCTATCAATGTGTCACTCTCCTACACAAAAATTAGCAAAATAGTTAGCTGATGTTTTAAGTCCAGTACGCAATGAATTATGTAAGTTTACTTTGAAAGATACATTTGAACTTGTTGACTGTCTTGCAGATATGAACATAAAAGATAGCAAAATGTATTTATTCGATGTTAATTTTTTTTTTACTAATGTACCATTGGTTAAGACTGTTGATATTTTTTGTGACTGCATATCTTCTAGTTGTTTTTCATTCCCTTTCCCTTTAACTTATTTGAAGGATCTATTACTATTATGTACAGACAACGTCCATTTGACGTTAGAAGGTGAACATTTTCGACAAGTGGATGGCGTTGTTATGGGGAGTCCATTAGAACCTTTGTTAGCGGACGTTTACATGTCTTATCCCTTGATTTAATTTCTAAATTTTGATATGTGACGATCATGAAGATGCGAATCGTCTATTAGACAAACTTAACTCTGTACAGAATCATATAAGTCCTACATGCGAGAAAGAAAGTCACAACCAGCTTGCATTTTTAGACATACTTCTGAGTCGAAGAGATGATGGTTCAATAAGACGATCAATTTACAGGAAGCCTACTTGGACAGGACAATACCTTAATTTTCACAGCTTCTGACCATTACAGTATAAGAGAGGCTTGGTGAGATACTTATTTAAGAGGATTCAACGTATTTGCACGGCTGATGTTATAGAGAAAGAAAATGAAATATTGATGGATACTCTTGGTGAAAATGGATATTCTAAAAATTTTTAAACAGGTGCAGAAGTCAATTAGTCTTTAAACCTACAATCTATACCTCCCCTAAGAAAAATGTTTTCATCAAATTACCATATAATGGTGAAATAAACAGTAGGATTTTGAGACAAAGGTTGAATTCGGTCATCCGTAGAACCTACTATGCGGTCCAGCTTGTAATTATCGAAAAAGCCAAAAATATGCTCCACTGCAAACCTCAAAAGTGCATAAGTGATTATGTCACTTCTCACACTATTTACCAATTTTCATGTGCATGTGTGTGTGTGGACACATATACCTAGGCAGGAGTAGTCGTGCTTTGCATGTGAGGGTGGGAGAGCGTTAGAAAGACAAATGAACTGTGGAAAACCAATAGACGCAGGTGTCAGACTACCAACTTCGTCTATAGCCAAACATCTAATCGAGATGAACCATAAGATTGATGTTAACTCAGCCTTTAAGGTCATCTATAAAAATGGTCAAGGGCGCTTATTGAAATACACTGAGGCTATAGCTATTCATAAACTTAAGCCCCCAACCTCCTGTGTATTCAAAAACAGTTTATTATTACTCCAAACCTACCTTGGTAATCCTTATTTGATTGGATTACCAAACGTTGTGTTAATTATTCTTAAACCTTTTTTGTGTGATCAGATTGTTCGAAATGTATAGCGCAAATACATCACATTTTCCAGATAACCTCCGTCTTCTGATAACACTATCTAAACCTCAATATTGCTTACTATGTTATATCACTTAACACGGGAGACAGAACGCAGACCCTTGTGGTCAAAAAAGGTTAGCAGGCCTTTTTATACCTTCCACTTACAATAGCTATGTTCTACTGCCAAAGAGAAGGACAGAGCAAACTGCTATAGAGTGCACACGTCTTTTTATTTATGATAGCCGGATATCATGTCTACACCAGAGATGATGACATAAATTGGCAAATGTCTCACGTGTCTTTTGTGTGCTGTGCTGAGATCTCTTTGTCAGCAATCAATTAGTCCACTGGGGATTCATGTAACTTTCGTTTCGTTGATTTTAGTTTTTTAAAGCATTTATGTCCTCGACCTTTTCCAAGCAAAAATATGTAGCGAATCAGACTGCTGTACTTCTATACAAATTTCCGCACTGATAATCAAGTTCACTTCAGGCAGAAATGTCTAGTATATCATCAGGTAACTAATAAATCTATCCTCATGAAATGTATTACTCAAAAGTTAACATGATTGATCAGTTGACTTTAACTAAACAACATCCAGTACAAAAATTGATTATTTTGTTTTCAAAATTCAATTGAATTTTTGCCGCCATTTTTGATGCATTATTCAGTTAAACAAAAGAAAAAGAAATCGGATCACATATTTCGGTTTCTTCGTTATATATATATATATATATATAATAAAATAATTACTAGACATACAAGGTGAAACATAAAATAAAAATATCTGACTTTGGACGGTAATTATATAACCTTTAAAGAACAGGAAAGTTATTTGATACCAACGCTTCTTCTGTTTGTTTTATTTCATCATTTAGGTCTTTTCTTGTGCTACTTAGTGCTACTGCTCGGTTTGTTAGACACTTAACTAAGCCTACCTTAACAGTTAACGGATGACATGAATTAAAGTCTAAATATCTATTAGAATGCGTTGGTTTTCTATAAACACTAGTGTGTAGTTTGCCTTCTTCTATTCGTTTTATTTTACAATCTAACATGGTTAATTCTCCTTGTTCATTTTCCGATTCAAATGTGAATTTTATTCCCTCTACTAGTGAGTTTATATGTGTCAAGAAGCTAGAGATATGTTCTGTTTTTAACACTGTGAAAGTGTCATCTACATATCTCCACCATATTTTTGGAGTAGGATTAAATGTATTGAGAGCAATATTTTCCCAGCTGTCCATAAAGATGTCTGCTACGATAGGGGATATTGGTGATCCCATTACCACACCTGTTTGTCTATATATTTTGCTTTGGAATTTAAAGATAGTAGATGTGAGGCATAACTGAATCCCTAAAATAATTTCTTTTTCAATGGGCAGCGTTGTCCTATGAGTGAGTTCAGGATCTGAAGTTAGTTCTCTTTTAACCGCTTCTAAGGCTGCAATATTGATTGGTATATTAGTATAAAGACTAGTTATATCAAAACTAACCATTTTTTCATTATTCTCTAATTGAATGTTACTTAGTTTCCTTTTCATTTCACATGAATTAGTTAGTTAGCCTAGAGTTTGAACGATTTCTGAGGGGGCATAATATTAGAGCTAAGTGTTTTGATAATTCATAAGTGGGGGTATTTCTGAAATCTACTATTGGTCGTATAGGGTAACCTGGCTTATGTATTTTAATAGTACCATACATTCTACTAGCATTATTAGTTTTATGCATTAAAACCTTTAGAGAACAGAGCTGATGTGAGGACAGATATAATAAACACTGTTGTTTCTTCAATTCAGTTTTTCAGCGATGGAAATAGATACGGCGTGTTCCACTGAATTCAACATAGTTCTGTGTCGGTGTCATGACCGTAACTACGATCTGGTAGACTATCAGCGGATTCTGACTTTAATGTGCTGGCTAATCTTTCCTAATCGCACGTCAATAACAACAACACTAATTATACCGCCGGTACCCAACATACAGAAGAGAAGATTGGACGTCCGTAAGGGAGCTTTCACTGTCTCAAAGCAACAGTCAAAATGATTGACAACGCTTGTGTATAAACATATAAGTTTAAGATGATCTTGAAAGGCACTAATGTCACTGGTAAATGAAGACGGTTAACAACCAATAGGATTCCAAAGGTAATAAATGGGGTGAGAGAAAGTCAGGTCATAAATCAATAAGTGGGGTTAGGGAAATGCAGACATACATGTCTGTCTGTTTTCGACATAGAACTTTGCACAAATGTGCGGCAGT